GTGGTGTGTGTGTGTGTAGTGTGTGTGTGTGTGTGTGTGTGTGTGTGTGTGTGTGTGTGTGTGTGTGCGCGTGTGTGTAACTTTTACTGCCAATTCCATGTGACTTACAGTAACAGACATCAATAGCCTGATTAATCAATGGTTAACACAATCATGATAAGAGCTGATATAACCCAGTTATCCATTATACACTCACACACACTTTCCAGATTTAAATAAATCATTGGTTTGTCACAAGAACACAATATCTGTTTTTAGGCAGCTCTGTGAGGAAAAGGCTAGTTGCTAACTCCCCAATGTCACAACATTAAGACATGACACACAAAAAAGAAGTAGGTGTTCTTCATTATTTGTTACACTTTGAGTGTACTTCTCTCTATAGTACACTTAATCTCTGTAACACACTATTCTATATAGTACACTATACAGTATGTGGTATGTCGAACTCAATAGATGATTAATTTTAATCCAATTAAAATGCAGTGCTGCTTATTTATTAATATAAGTAAGCAATGTCCTTGCTGGAAGGCTTGCACACACTTGAGCACATGTGTTTATATGTGTGTGTACTTAGCCATGTTGGGAGGCAAAATTGTCCCTACAAGAAAGTAAATGTGACAAAAAAAAAGCCATCTGGGTATATTCTGGGATGCCCTCATTTTGATTTTTTTAATATTTTTTCTTTATTTTATTCTAAAAAGTTTTCATTCAGGGTTTCTAGTAATTATATATTTGGGTTAGTTTCTAGTGATTATAATTAGCTTTAATAAAAACAATAGAAGTTATGATTTAGACAGCTAAGCAAGTGTGTGTGTGTGTGTGTAAATGTGCTCAACAAGCACGGTTACATTTCACCAGACAAAGCGTCCAAAAAAGTACAAAATTACTCTTGTGAAAATTAAAATGTAAAAATTACAAAAAAATTGAACAATTATTCTTAGAAAATTAGGTAAAATACAACAACAGATCTTAGTTTTAACCATGAAAGTCCAAATAGCTCAGCTGTTACAATGTTGGGAAACACATTAGCACCAAGCTGTGACCTGTCAGGATGACCCATTAATGGACTGACAGTGCAGAACAGCTGGCAACAGGAGAAAGACCTGAAACCTACAGCCAAAAACGAACAAAATGTTCTTTTGTTTGAAATTTTAAAAAAGGCAGAAAGAGGACATAAACCAAGAGTGACAGCTACAAAGACAATGCTTTCTTTCGGATATGGTGATTGAGGACAGTATGATGGAGTGAGTCTTTCTGACCTCTGCTAAAAATAATACGGTTTACTCAAGAATACTGCCAAGACATTCCACATCCAGCCAGCGGAGCGAATCTGAAAGCACTCAGGATGACAGCACGTGTGTGTCTAATCCGTGATGAGACTGAGTGACCTCTACATGCGATAAAAAAGACTGAGTCACCATCTGGCTGAAGAATTTGTGCAAATCTCAACCTGCTAAAACACACATTTCCTCTAGATTCAAGGCTTCACAATCTTGATAATACAATAAAATTAATCCTCATTTACACTGAGTGTTTGATGATAATTGTACACATTTTCTGTGTGCTTGATTCTTTGTGCTGCTACACACCCAAAGCTATGACATAGTCAGGCTAGCCCACATCTTACAAGTGGCTGTATAACATGGTACACTAACACCATGTCTACACCGGATGTGACAGTTGTCTTGTCGCGTCGCATCGTGCCGCAACAGCTTGAGGCTGTCTACACTGAGTGCGTCTACACTGAAAAATCATTTGAAATTTGAGTCAGTACGTCATAAATAGAACGAGGCATCAGTTTACTGTCGGGGATTTGTCTTGTCGTGTCGCGCCACATCCAGTGTAGACGGCATCACTGATTATAATGGGTTCTATAGTATTTTGTCAAGTTGCGCCTCGCCATTCACATCTGGTGTAGACACGGTGTAAGTGTATAAATTACAAAAAATCCTGTTCTTTTAAACTTTCTATTCATCAAAGCATCCTGAAAAAGTATGTATCACAGTTTCCACAAGAATATTAAGCAACACAACTGTTTTCGACATTAATAATAATAAGGAATGTTTCTTGAGCACTAATCAGCATATTAGAATGATTTCTGAAGAATCATGTGGCACTGAAGACTGGAGTAAAAGCATTTAAAAAATTTAGAGTGGATTATATTTTAGAAATATATTAAAATAGAAAACACTTACTATAAAACTAATATTTTAATATTTTATATAATATGTGTAATAATATTTCACAATATTAATGATTTACTGCATTTTTGATCAAATAAATGTAGCCTTGGTGAGCATAAGAGCTCATTCTGTATGCTGGTTTATACCAAAATAAGATGTATTACCATCTGATACAATCACTGTCCCACCACAGTACTTTTTTTGTAAGGATATGTACTGTACGCACTGACAAATCCATCTGCCCAGGTTGTGAGGGAGATGTAGGACAGACACACACACACACATCCTATTAAACATCATTAATGCCTGAACTCACCAGGGTGTGCCGTTGGCTGTGCGAGTGGGCTGAGACAGAGTGACCTCTAGTTGCCCCTGTAAAAGAGAAAAAACAGAACACATGGGCATCTGGCAGGTATTGATCTTTCACTTCCTTTCCAGTAAACTCTGCTAGATATTCTCGAAGGATGTGCAGTACATAGAGAACAATCAGTCTCTTTCACTTCTTTTGTTTCGATATGATCAACAAACATCATATGGTTCCATTTGGTTCTTCAGTTTTGTATTGCCATGGTATCAAAATTTCAGTTGTTGATACCAACTGGAAAAAAGGAAAAAGTTTATACAGAAAACTCTTGTTAATTGGTTAACTGTAAGTTACATTACCAAATATGGTGAAAAATTGTAAATGGTTTAGCATCACACTATATGTGACATTATTGTAAAATTCTGTCAAATATATGGTTTTTGCAAGTAAAAACTATGAATTACTGTATAATTTACTGTGAGAAAGAGTAAAAGGACATTACCAGAAGTCCTTGTGCGACACATCACATATTTTATATTAAGTTAGTCTCTTCTCATTTGTGCCATCAGTAATGTACATCTGAGTGTTTTGTGTTACATTTTCTATATACATTAGTTAATATTTTTGCATTATTTTTGGGTCATATGTATGGGTTTCCCTTAAACATTAAATGAACAAAAAGATACATTTTGTTGACATTCCAGGTGGAAAAAAGGCAGGTCATGAAACAGCTGGTCTTTGATTATGAATCATTATAAATAACTATGGTTTGGCATTATGCGAAAAAATCTAATACCATATGGTATTGGGTGAAAACCTTTAAAGTAACTGTACATTCAACTCCACTGCTGTCCTAACTGGTTGCACAAACCATCCACAATGTACTAGCAGTGGCCTCAAAAACTAGCTGTCTGAGATGTTTTGGCCGTTGATGCGGCAAATGACGCCTGATGACTGACAGTGTGGCGGGCTATGGTTCGAGGGATGTCTGGATTCTTTAGTACATTTCTCAGGTCTGGCTTCCCCTTCCCCATCTCAGAGCTCATATTAAAGAGGGGAAGACAGAACGAGAAAAGAGCTCTGGACTGCAGCAGGGGTCGAGGAAAGGTCAACCTGAATGACCTGGAAACCCTTTGATGTGGCTCAACGTGGCTAACCAAAAGAAAAAGTAGCAATTGGTCATAATGGCAGTTAGCCGACTGTATGGTGTTTCATAATTGTGAACTAATCATGAGTTAAGTCATGTAATTTGTATGGTAATTGTCAAACAACTGTATAAATACCTAGTCTATATGCTGTGAGTCATAAGGTCATTTACTGGATTCTAAAAGACTCCCTTGGTTAAAGAAAACCCCATGGGCTCTGCAGATATAAAGCGGAACAATACAAAACAGACCACACTTCCTATTTGCTACATGATACAGAGTAATGTTCTACGTTAAGTATTTGAACAAACCCTGAGGTATTAAACTAGACTTGCCATACAGCTTATCAGGAAGAGGGGTGCTATTTCATATAATTGGACTTACAATTTCATATAAGTGGACTTACAATTTTCACCTGATATCAATGCAGTAAAAAAAAAACACACTAGCACTGCATAGCAACATGCTAAAAACTACCCAAAACATTCTAGTACTGGACAGCAATGTGCTAAAAACACACTCATAACACCCTAGCAACCACACAGCAGAGCAACCTAGAAACTCACAGTATCCTAGCAACCACATAGCAATGCACTAATAACCCAGAACACCCTAGAAACTGCACAGAATCATGCTAAAAATAAACACATAGCAGATTTTTTTCATTTATTTATTATTCACTTATTTTTTATTTTATTTATTTTTATTTTTTGGATCTTCTGGTGCAACAACAAACTTTTCTTTGGTTAGGTACAGTATGTTGGACTTCAACAGTCATTTAGTCTGTTTAAACCCTGCTACTTTCCTAAAGTCAACTGCAAACTCGCATTTAGACCGGCCACCATCCAATCAACAACGATGGACAGAATACATTTTTTTTTTCTTTTCATACGTTTTTTTTCTTTTTGATTATCTTTTATTCAGATGCATGTCACAATAAAGATCAAAATATCTGCCAATACCATTTCCATTTTATTGCGACTTGAACATTATTTTGTTTCTTTATAAACCATTTTTGCATTTGAGTTTTGCAATTTGACTTACATTTTTCAGTAATTTAGTCACTAGGTCAAAAACACACACACACACACACACACACTTACCTTTATGAACAAGTGCACTTAGTAACAGCACCTCTTCTGTAGTACTTGGCAGTGAATTCAAACACACAAACACTCAGCAGTCCCGGGCACTTGACTGCTGCTTGCAGATCATAACATTCAAAATTAGGGCTGTTCTTAGAACTGAAAAAGACATAGAGGGCTTTTGTGCTCAATCCGTCTACACGCAATACCAACCCAGTTTTACCCCACCCAGCCCCTCTGGACCAACTCCGTTACGCAGCCAGCCCTCAGACCCTTCACACCCAGTGGACAGTAAATGCACACTGCCCTTCCCTGTGAACAGATCTGATGTCAGCTTTAGTTTCCTCTCTGTGCTACCTGACATGCATGTGCTTGAGCCTGAATATTAAAGGGATAGTTCACCCCAAAATGAAAATTCAGTCATCCTCATATAAAACCTGGACTTTTCATTCTCCATTCACTTTATAGACAAAAAAATAAAAAAAGATTTTTGGGTGACCTATGCCTTAAATGGCATTCAAGAGGAAGGGACGAAGAGAAACAAACATCAGAGGGAAACATTTCCTGCTTTGAACTGTGTTGCCTCTTAAACTAAAACACACATAGAGCGAAGCCTCAATACCTTCTGGCCAGTGATGGCTAAAACAAACATATGCAAAAGTGTCCTGAAGGATTAGTTGGCTCCTACTGTTTTGCCAGCAATTTTCTTGTGAATGGTCCTGTAGTCAATAAAAGCAGTGTTTGGCCATATAGGCAGCGAGTACGCTGCAATTTGCAATAAATACTGTTTATGAGTGGATTCTAGTTAAAGTTGATTTCCAGGAAAATTACAAGGAGGCTCATTTACACAACCATGTATTTCTTCCCACTGAGATGACCATCTGACCCCTGTCAACCGCCCACTCACTGGCAGGCCTGGGCTGCGGTGCCACGCTCGGCTCGCCTGCGGGTTCCCGTTAATGGCTGGTATGCATTGGCTCTGATTCTGCCCTTTGGTCCAGTGACTCTGTGAGGTTTATCAGAATCGATCCCGGCTGTAAACTGACTCAGTCTGACTCCCCCACATCAGCTGTAACTCTAGCCCCCCCTCACCTTGACCTCTTTCACAGACACGCACCTCTATGTGTGTGCGTCCAAGTCTGTGCCGCTCTGTGGCATTATGTTTCAGGGCTCTGGCACAACCTCGGAGGAACGTTCCGTGCCGGGCTGGGGGCTCCCGAGAGGGTCATGAGGCTAAAGAGTCAGGACGACGGTTCTTTTCTTACACAAACACTTTCAAAGAAACAAACCTTTGAGTGAAAAGAAAATATTCTTTTTTATTTTGTTTACATTAGTAATTATTTCTTATTTTATGTCATATGTTTTCTTTTTCTTTAAAACAGTCATCATAATACGCATAAAAAATTCTGGTTTCCAGGTACTGATCAATGTTGAAATGGTTAAATTAATACAAAGTACATACATTCATTACCATTCAAAAGTATGAGGACAGTAAGATTTTTTTTGGAACAAAAATATTACTTTTACTCACCAAGAATGCATGAAATTGATCAAAAGAGACAGTAAAGACATTTATAATGTTACAATTCCTATTTCAAATAAATGTCGTTCTTTTTAACTTTATATTCATCAATGAGGAACGTTCCGTGCCGGGCTGGGGGCTCCCGAGAGGGTCATGAGGCTAAAGAGTCAGGACGACGGTTCTTTTCTTACACAAACACTTTCAAAGAAACAAACCTTTGAGTGAGAAGAAAATATTCTTTTTTATTTTGTTTACATTACTAATTATTTCTTATTTTATGTTATATGTTTTCTTTTTCTTTAAAACAGTCATCATAATACGCATAAAAAATTCTGGTTTCCAGGTACTGATCAATGTTTAAATGGTTAAATTAATACAAAGTACATACATTCATTACCATTCAAAAGTATGAGGACAGTAAGATTTTTTTTGGAACAAAAATATTACTTTTACTCACCAAGAATGCATGAAATTGATCAAAAGAGACAGTAAAGACATTTATAATGTTACAATTCCTATTTCAAATAAATGTCGTTCTTTTTAACTTTATATTCATCAATGAATCCTGATGGAGCAATGTTTTCAACATTGATAATATTAAATATTTCTTGAGCAGCAAATCAGCATATTAGAGTGATTTCTGAAGGATCATGTGACACTGAAGTCTGGAGTAATGACTGCTGAAAATTCAGCTTTGACAACACAAGAATAAATTACATTTTAAAATATATATAATCTAAAAAACTTTCGTTAAATTGTAATATTTCACAGTGTTACTGTTATTACTTTATTTTTGATCAAATAAATGCAGCCTTGTTGAGCACAAGTGATTTATTTCAAAAACATTTACAAAATCTTATACCCAAGCTTTTGAACAATAGTACAGAGGTTTTAAAGTTCTAAACTCTTGAATGTAAGAATGACTGCTGCTAGATAAATATTGAAATATTAGTCTATTCTGAAGTGCATGTGACAAGTTTGGCGCTAAATCTATGAAATGCTATCCAGGTCAGCGGCAAGACGCTTCACAGCTAGAACTAGAGCTGCTATGTTTAGTACATACACACGTACAGTCACAATGATGGCATAGGGAGTAGGGAAAGTTGTAAGTCCACTTGGCATAGGGGGATGGACTGGCTGAGGTCCCTGCCAGAGAAAGAGTGGAGTTAAAAGAGCAGGATGGAGGTGAGAAAGAAGATAAAAGTGTGTTACAGAGCGAAAGGGGTGTGTATAATGAGACTGGCTTAATGTTTAACCAGGGTGGAGAGTAGGGGTGTGCGATATATATCGTCTGCGATAATATCTTAATCGTTGTT